AGCTCTGGACCAAATCAAAATTATAAAGTACTTTGTGATCTAACTAGTCACCATGTTTCTTAGGTATGCAGCCATTTTGAATATCAATGTTTCCTATATATTTTTGAAGTCTAACGACGGTATTTTATTTTATAGTTATATTATTTACTAGAGTATTTAAGTAAATTGAGTAGTTAGAATATAAATGAATACAAATATAATTACGAACTTCACGGTGAGCGTGGGTAAAAAATCATCAATTTAATACAATCTCGTGTATTGTTTTAAAACACTAAAGAAACAGGTCGATGAGCCAATATACATTAGAATAGAATTGCTTTTTGAATTAAAAAGAAATTCATATAATATTACATTTTTCGTCACAAGAGGCGCTACCGGCCTGATTATTCTTTTTAAAATCGTGTACACAAGCAAATCGACGAATACTAATCTAATTATACGTAATACAAACAATATTATAGGATACCAGATTGTTCGGTCAGTCGATTGTGTATTTCTAATAAGAAGTTTTTAGTCAAAACAATCAATCATTTATCGTACATAATGGTCTAGACCTATGACACGTCTTGTCCTTTTCATCTTTTCATCGGACAGAAGTACGTAGGTATATTGCCCTCTTTGAGTGTTTCCGAATTTGAACTTTATTTTGTTTTTTATATTATTTTATTGGATATAATTTTTGCATAGATCCTAACTGTTGCAAAAATATCATACAACACGAGGCTTATTTTCATTGTGATAGTGTTGTGCTTTCAATTTTAAATATGCATTCTAAAGTTGCATTCTACAGACTCTTAAAAGAAACGAAATGTTAAAAAAAGTGTTATCATATCCACATACTTAGATAAGTAATTAAGTAAAACATATTTGTTGATATTCAATCGAGTTTCTCTTCTATTGACATAATATATACCACGTTTTCAAATATCAAAACCAAAAAAAAACGGTGTTTTACAAATATATTTCCTTGCACAATACTCCTAAATTAACTATTTCATAGCTCAAATTGCACGTAACTCGAGCTGAGAATCGTACAGCACCGCCATTACATCGATAAGGCTTCCAGAACCCCTTTATTTATTTTCCCTTTAAAATGAGGTTTCTAATGATTGCTTAAGTCTTTGACGTTGTTTTACAAGATTTTGTGGCTGCCAATTAAAAAGATTGATTTGTGTTTTCAGATATTTTAATTAACTTGTTATTTTTGTCTTTGGCTTAGTTAGGCTGGCAAAGTATTTTAATTTGATAAACACTTAGAAAAAATATTTATTCAATCCATGGTTTTTTATAATTTGATTCAATTTTTCATTTTAAATCTCCAGCGTAAATTGATAAAACCGCTGGACACAGAACACTTGCGTATCTGTCCTGCATGACGTCATATCGTATCTTTACTTTATTTTCTTTATAAGTAGTCATCGGTAGTAAACGCAGTAATATTATTGCAATTTTAAAATGATCTATTATGCTTTTATTCAAAAGTGTAGTGACACATCCTACATTGATGTTAAAACAATTTGGGAGACAACAATTTTGATTAATGCTAAAAATAATCTATTTCAGTACAAACAAAATTTACCCTAGGTTTCACTTATTATATGCTTATTATCATCAAATAACCAGAAAAAGGTCACTCTCGAGGAATTAAGCACGTTTATTGTCTAACACAAACAGTGATAAGTTTTTTTCATGACGCAATAATAAAAGTATTTTTAATAAACATCATTGTTTAACATTATTGGAATGTTACGTAATCAATCATACACAATGAAAGGAAATATATCGTATGAATCGTTTGAATTATCAATAATATACGTTATATAGGTACCAATGGTACTGGTGTATACTTTTAGTGAAAATATTCTACTATGGCAATTTTCTTTCAATCAGCCCTACAATGTCCTGCTCCCGTGCACCATTTTATTTATTTGCGCGGTTTTCTATAACGGTCATTATTGACATGACGCGCAAAGGTATTCATTTAGAAATCCTATTACAGGTTGGAAAAGGTTGGTTCATAAAAATAAATAAATACTGCGTCACTATTGGTGGAAATCAGTGGTGTGATTGCCGCGCCCGCCGAACTAACTAGTACGCACACTACGCACAGCCATTACCGGTTTCACACCTGCACTACATTGCATACGTATCTTCAAACATTAACTCTTAGTACTTTTTACGCCTTTAAAAACAAAAAATCCATTTCGAGGCCTTTGTTTATAGCGTATATTACAATGCAATTTTGAGTATCCTGTCAGAATGCGAATCAAGGCCAAGGTGAGATGAGGTCATTCACTATATATTCACCCTCTAATTAAGTATGTACCTAGTGCGTCTTTGTAGACATCGTCTTAATACAGCTGAGAATGAAGAAAAAAACACGAGTTGTTTTTGATTTGATATTTCCTGGAGACAATTGGACTATTAACTGGCATTATTACAAGATCTTAGACTTTTTTATATTTTTTTATGTGGCAACAAAAAGTATCCTCATAGGTTCCTTTTTTGGAATTAAATATAAAAAGATGCTCACAAAAGAATATGGCGTGACAAGTTGGCTGGTCAAATGATAATTTAAACTAATAGGAACTTACCTTAAATATGTGGTTATTGGATTTAAAATAAGTATACTGATTATTATAGAATTGTTAGTTAGTATATTATTATTCTGAACACCAATTTACATACAAATAACGACAAAAACCTAGAAAGGCCTTTGTGTAGTTTTGGACGTCTTTTGTCCGGAACGACGATGAAATTACAACGTCTTTCCCTTTTCCTTACATTGCTCAGAATCCTGTAACCAGGGAAAGATATACCTATCTAAAATTCATCGCAGAAACATACATGAACACACTTACAACCGAAGATAAAACCTCCTCCTCTAAAGGATGAGATTAGACCTCTGTATTAGACCAGAAATCGTGATGACTAAACGCAATCATTACAGAACATGTTTCGAATTGGTTTACAATAAATCACAAGTAGCGTTGAATTGTTTGACCTTATGAACTCGTTGTGCACGTCCTCAATGGATTTCGGCCGCAGTTTAGCATTTGCCTGGGCTCAGCTCTCTAAAAGCGGCTAGTTACTACTAGAGAAGTTAGTCTAAATGTCCTTTCGAAACGAGGATTACACTAGTTAAAAAAAACTCTAGGAATAGATTAAAGTATATCAAACTTTAGTAGTAATTCTAATTGGGCTTTCTGAGTTAGTCTTGCAACAATATAGGTTTGTTATAATACTTTTTAAAGGCTTACGCGGTTTTTTTTTCTATCATGTTATGAATCTAAATCTACACACATTAACGCACGATCTTTGGAGAGCATATTTAACGTAATAAATGAAAACTTCTCTGTAAATATCTAATTCCTAAATATTTTTTTGGTATTGTAAACGATCAGACTAAACTGCTATAAAATTTAAAGTCAATGACTCTTCGACCTAATTTATGTTAAACAGTTTAAGTTGTCCCAAAGCAGTTCCCTTCATGGATTCTTGTGTGAAACATCAACGGAAACAGCCGGCTTCAGAGCTTCGCCGGTACTTAACTGTCCAATTGAACAAACGAGCATGATAACCCTGGATCCGGTCCCGTGGCTGGATTCGTTGTGGCCTCTTAATGTATCTCAACTGTCATTACTGACCATTGTTGATTTACGTGACTATCGTAGGATTTAAAGCAGATTTTAAGTAAACGACCAATAGCGCAATACACAAAAGCGACGGACAAAATTATAAACAATTTTTATACACATACATGAGGATAGTTAGTATGATTAACTATCAGGATAAAAACTAAATAAAAAATCCATACTTGATACCAAATATAATAAAAAAGGAATACGGTCAGCCCGATCAGGAATTTTAGGAGACACTGGAACTACGATAAACCCACGACAATACATTAATGGACGCTCTTTTGCGTAATGGGCCGCATCCTGTTCAGCCCAGGCGCAGTCCAGTCAATGCTAAGACTTCACTTCACGCACTACGTCACATTCGCTTCCAGAAACTAAAATTCATTGTTCATGTTTCCCTAATCGTGTGTGTGATCACGTTTCGCGTTATTGTAGACATCCTCGTGTGGGTTTCGAGTGTCGCACCTCTGGGCATCCATGCCAATCGACGAACGTCGCTGACGACGGACGATGTGCCTGTTGCGATCTCGAATACGATAACGAAATTTCGAAAACTATCAACCAAAGTTTGTCTATACATCGTGTAACGGATGCAGTGTTAAGGATGAAATTGTGAAATTTATGAGAGAATTCGTATTGTGGTGTGCATAGTGACGGACATGCCTGAGTTTCGACGCCTGGCATCCAGTGTGAAAAAAAAGAAGTTACTTTCGCCGACTCAGCGTTTGAGTCATACGGGCAGTTCTATTTGCTTGATGCGATAACGTTTTAGGTGAGTCTGTCATTAGTGTAAAGTGGTATATCCCTTACATTTAATGGGCACTTAGCGTACGTGAACAGGTGTGGTCTTTAGATTATGTATCTACCTAAAAAAAACACCTTTTCGGCTACCCATACTTATTGTTTCTTAAAACATATCCCATTAGTACACTTATCTGGTGCGGTTTAGTTACGTATTTAACCGTCCCATAATTCCCAGAAAGGAAAATTACTCGGACCAATTTATAATCTGTGAGTATCAGTATTTCTAACGTAGAGTGACATATTATGTGGACAATTCCACTGTAGGTATTTGACACTATGCGTCTATATATTACCAAAAGTAAATTCTATCCATCTTGTCTGCGTACAATAAATTAAATTTGTTAATTTGTATGCAAAATAGATTAAACAACATTGAATCATCTCCTACATCATTCTCAGCAGCAATTTATTGGTAGTTCATAAAAATAACCATGTCAAAGTCAAACCAAAGTACCTACTTATTCCAAAGGCCATGGTTTCAGTTACACTCATCATAAAAAATTTAATCAACACAAAATAGTATGAAGTACAGTAAACAAAATGAAAAACCATTACCTGATCTTATTCTTGGTTTGTTTACTGTTTGAGGTTATATTTTTCAATAAACAAATCCACAAAACTTTAACTAAACATCACACATTGTAAACACACACTTTCACAAGCACAATTTATTAAAGGAATATTTTCACATAATCAACACATTTTAATGAGTAATGAACTAATGACTTTAACTACCAGTAAGTGTTATAGATAACAGCTGACTGTATTTGATATTTGTATTTAATTTTAATGCAATATCTTCTTATGTATGGTTCAACGTACTCTATCGGTTTCACATAAAACTACAATCTTTTTTCGTTGTAGTTACACCTAATATCGCAAGATGGCGTTAATACAGAAAAAATATTTTCCATTTTGTAATGCCGGTCCGTTGTTCTTCAGAAAAAATTTAATACTGAAAAAGCCTAAGTGTATTAAAATATTTACAAAAACAATCATATAACCTCAACATCTTTTTTATTGACGTCAAATACTCGACGACCAAAATAATGTTACTGTTATGTTACGTTGTGGTTTAAATCTAACCAATTATGCTTTGCGTTGTGGAATAAATCTTGATATTAAGTTTCACTCGTAACCAACTAAATTGTTACAATATGTTGGCAAAAGCAACATTCGAAATATCGTAAATATGTCAATAATAGGAAAAAATTATCACTATATTAAAAATACCTACATTAAAAACATCAAAAACAAATTATGCAATAATTGGGTACACTACAAAATATTGTACATTGGGGAAAACGTTTCCATTGGAAGTTTCCAATTAATTTCAGTTTATTATTTATTGAAACCTTATAATAGTGACGGCCGGTGCTAATTGTATTTTTGATTGATTATGTAAAATTGTAAATAAGGTTTCACGTTCGTACGTTCAACAATAAGGGAATAATAATTCAGTTTCTAGAATAAATTACTTATCAAAATACCTAATAGAAAAATACCTTTCCTAGTTTTAAATAAATTAAGTATATAATGATATTATTTACCGGCAACCCCTTGGCTTCATTCATACAGTTTATACGGGTACTAGAGCTTATAACTTTTTTTTTGTGTCGGTCAGTCTTATCAGCCAGTTGCGTTATCCACTATGCGTTGCGCTTGGTATAGGGCCAATTCTAATTTAGATACAATACAAGAAACATGAAGATCCTTTTGCCTTTTTTTATTAAAAAAATATAATATTCATATATTTCGTTTTCGTCTTTCATTCTCCTCTATCGTTTATCTGTTCACTAGCCACATATTACTTTCTTCCTAGCCATATCCTCTTTCACAAGTAGGTACTTCATAGGTAGGTATCCATCTTTTCTTCGAGCGGTCTCCACTTTTGATTTAGTCAATTTCTATACCTACGTAAGATTATAGATAGATATATAATGAACAATTAAGAAAATATGAATAGTCATATTATCTTAATTTTTCATTTTTATGAAGCAAGAGAAACGATGGAATTATATAGTAGGATCTTGCAGATTTTTTAATATATTATCTTGGGCTTTGGTTCACTCTTTGTATACACTTATTCCTCGAAGTATTATTTAACTCTTCTTATTGTTCCATGTCTTAAATATAAGTCTTAATTTAATTTAATTAATTTTTTTCTTTCGATGCTTCCTGCTGAAAAGAGTAGGTACCAATATTATTCTGAGGTTTGACAGTTTTAATCAAAATTATTCAGCCAATGTATGCATAAAAAATCAACGCTTACTTGGAAAATCTTACTGATAGTCGGATTTTCGATCGACAAAAAACTACTCGCATATTTGATGAGGAAATCTGACAACCCGCTTCAAGCCAAGTACCTAGGCTCGTACTAGGGCCAAGTAGTAGTAGGACAGATTCTGTACAGGAAACTTCGTCTAATTTATTGTACAACATACTAGACAGAGTTCCGGTATATAGAAAAACTGAACGTTAATATAGCATTCTAAATCTATGATTCATACCACAGATAAAATCAATAAGAATGACAAGTCATTCTTAAGTGAACCTGTAGTAAGCAGTTCTAATATGTATTCCAAACTTTAGATAAGTCATATGTCAAACATATCAACCGAGTCTCTATATTATTTACATTACCTACTCAATACTTTCAAGAAATTTGCAAGAATGTGAAGCTGTGTTTTTATACTGACTCATAGGTATATTGTTAACACTGTCATGTTATTTGACATAGGACTACCTAATGAGTGAATATTATGGAGTATAGAGTTAAGGAAAACCATCTTTGTGTATGAAAAGTACTTCTTCGTCAAAATGCCTAAAATGGGCGCTACACTAAGATCAGGGTAAATTTTAAAGAAAGCGCCAAAAGTCATTAGAGTAGGATAGAGTATTTAACATGGAAAAAAAATTGTTGACTTAAAAATAATTGTGGCTGTGTCTAACTAGACTGCGAAAATCTGCGAAATCTGTAATAATATGAGTTTTACTGACAATAACCAAACTTCACCCCGTCTATAACTGCTATGTTCATGTCATTCCCTTTGGCTACACTAGCGCCATTCTGGTCGGTATTAGAACTTATTTATTGCTTTTTGGTGGACACTTTTTCGGTTTGCCGCCCATACAAGATAGTGCTCCATTTAACTCTACACTCCATAAGGTATATCTATCATTTGTAACTTGTGTCTCGTTAGTCTCGTCGCGAGTAGTAAACGTCCTTTCTAAAATCCCAAGACTCCTTGCTACGAACTAAATATCATATAGTCAAAATAATGAAATAACTTTGTATTACCGATTACTTGAGTTTTTTCATTATTTTATACCTACTAAGATCAATTGTTCCCCGCAGTTGCATCTGTGTTATTTGTCATTTCGTAATTTTTCTTGATAAATAATCAATCCAATACAAAAAGAATGATTCAACGATCATCATCATCAACAGCCTTCAACAGTCCACTGCTGGACATAAGCCTCTCCTTAGAAAGGAGGTTTTGGCCTACTATACCACGCTGGCCAGACGAGTTGGTATAGGGTTTGTGTCAAGTTTTCCTTCTCTTTGCAGTGATGTTGTTCTGCGTAGATTGCTCCCTCAGTCGTCTCTTACAACACCCACGGGATGATTGGGGGTGATGACAATGCGTATTCTTAATCCGTCACCACACAGACAAACAAACAATCAAACAATAAGTACCTACATGCATTTTGAGGTTATTTTGTGTACTATACAAGTTTAAGAATATTACCGCGTTATAACTATAAGATGCTTATAGGCTATAAGACGTAATGCTAGCCTATTCGCTATCAGTCATCACGCTACGACCAATAGCAGCGGCGCATTAATGAAAAATTTTGCAAAAACTGTGAAAATTTATTCCTTATGGAAGACGTAAACATAGTTGCTCGAATAAGCTAATTAATATGACGGGCCTGTTGGTCTAGTGGTTAGTGACCCTGACTGCTAAGCCGGAGGTCGTGGGTTCGATTCCCGCCCAGGACAAATATTGTGTGATGAGCGCGGTCAATTTGTATGTATTTAGAAATATATTAGTATGTTTATCAGCAGTTGGTTACAATAGCACAGGCTCTGCCTAGTTTGGGATCAGACGGCCGTGTGATGTATGTGTGAGGTTATAGTGTATATTAAAAAAACGAAAAGTAATAAAACTAATAAAGTATTATTGCAAAAATAACGTATTGTATGACGCCAACGGCACCAGCCCATGTCTCATTACACGGAAGGCATATTACCCGGCATTTGTCCTTGTATATTTTTTGCCTCCAAATGTCAAATGTAATCCGCTCATTGACATTTTAATTTCATTTCCGTTCTCTACAATAATGGATTATATAATTACAGTTCTATTAGATTTAATACAATTATCTTGATTTAAAAGTTTGATATTTTGGTATTTAATTTCAAGGCTCCATATTTAAATGACGATTGTCAATAAAACCTTGCATAACTGAATACTTATTGGTATAAACCTGATTTTTCTTAAAGGTAAAAAGGCCTCAAGTTCTAACAGTTATATAGAAATTATAGAATACTGGCCATGAGAATTGTGATGCACCACAACGGAGCAACGCATACGTGCGTCATGCATAGCGTGATTTTCATTGCGTTTAAAAAAAAACTTGTAGTCTCAATTGTGAAATATTTGTAGTTATTGAAGTGAAAACTTCTTCTTCTTTTTTTGTAATGGGTAAAAAATGTTAAATGTCAGGACACGTGACCCTGATCGAAAATTCATAAGACGGATGGAGAGTAGACAGCCGGCGCGGCGTAGGAGAGGAAGTATCCCCCTCTCTTTCTACGGCGCGGCGAAAATGTATGCCTGCGCCTGCTGTTTCGTTTAGGCGGCGCAGGGCGCTTGCGCGAATGTTTGTTTTTCTGAGAGATAAACATTTTTTAATGTAATATAAATTGTCATGTTTATGTACGATAGCGCAATAAATAAATATTGTATTCTATATATAAAAGTATAAATTATAGTACTTTTATACTGATAATTAAAGAAATTCGTGCAAAATTATTCCCTAACCATTCCAAAATATCAAAAATGCACAACGTTAATATTCAAGTTTTCACTTCTGCCGGCACTCCCGGAGTGCAACCCGTCGTTTTTTTTAAATTTTTAATACATATTTCAAACACTGTAGTTTATTTTCAAAGGATTTGCAAAAAACATTAGGTATAAATTAACTTCGAACAAAATAGGTTCGTTTTTAGGTTATGTTTATCCGTGATTATTGAGTCAGCTAATAGTTTCATAAGAAAACAAGGGTAAATTACTGTTGAGTAATTTCTATTGAGAGTTTCTTATAAAACTATTAACTAATATGAAACAATGGAAAACGGCATGCCGGAGGCGAGTACACTTAATAATTTAAGTGTAGAACCATTAATCAATGCATTAAATTATAGTGCAAACAATATGGTGGAAAACCCCCGTGGAAACTGTGTCTATAGAAAAACAAATCGATGGCCAACAGTTGATGATAATTTATTGGAAGGTTTCTTAATATGTATGTGAACGATTTATGGGCGCCATTTGCCGGTATTGCTTATAGTATTTGTAGGTATGTACTCGTAATGTATTTATAGCGTACCTATCCTATTCTAAGTTTTTGTCTGGAATAACCTAATTTTCTACCAAGGAGGTGGGCGATGGTAGCCGTGCTACAGTTTCATACGTTGCAATTCTTTTATTATTTTTAGCTCCAAATAAGCTGTAACGATCATGGGATTCTACATTTTTGTAAGATTCTGTTCTTATACGCTTGAAACATCACAAAAAGAGAATAATGTTGAATCAATGAAGTGTCTATAATTTGTCAAATTCATGTGAGGGTTAAGGTTTGTACTCGGACCTAGCTTTTCGTATCCCTCCTATTTTAGATACGGTACGGTATAGCGGGGGGTTTTAGTCGATTCAATTCCGACACAACGCCCACTGAAAACCCTAGTGGGACCTACCCTACCCTACCCTACCCTAGTGGGATAAGCGGTAAACTCGTAAATACAAAAAAAGGTTCTTTTATGGCCAGCAACCACAACAGGAATAGTACAGTAAGTAAGTACTGGACAATAGTACAGTAAGTAAAGGAGAGCAAAGAGGTGCAGTAAAGGATACCACAATCAGAAAAGGCAGTAAGAATGTCCTGTACGTCCGTCCTTTGAGCAGAGAGACCAGGGGCCTAATTCTGCTATTTTACGTTCACGCCAAGCCACTGTCATACCACTGACACGCTATTGAGATGCCATCGAGTGGCCATTGGCATCGGTATAAATATCGGTAGTCTACACTAACTCAGTGTCTTTACAGTGGCGATGGAATGGCAGAAAAATTAAAAAGAATTGCCTCAAAAAAACGTAATATATTTTCAAATTATAAGCAATCTTTTTCATATCACCACTGATTAGCCTCGATGGCATCTCAATAGTCAGTGGTATGACAGTGGCTTGGCGTGAACATAAAATAGCAGAATTGAGGCCCTGGAAAGGTTCATCGACTGACTCAAGCTTTACACCAATTCAATGATTCATAATGACTACGATTGCTGTTAAACAAAAAAGTACATAAAAACCCCCAAACACTAAGGTACTTTATAATGATTCATTTTAAAACATAACTGTGTAATACTAATTTTAAATACTTTTATATTTACTGTTTCGTTCTAATACAAGAAAATTATAATATTGTTATTGTAGGACTTATAACACAACAGAACTAAGTTGAAGGTTGATGATGCTACGGGGACTCATTAATTCGTTTGATCAAAACTAGGCAGAGCCTGTGCTATGTTAACCGGACTGATGATAAACATACCTACTTTTACAATTTCTAAATACAAACATATTATTAATAATTTATACCCAGACACAGAACAAATGATGATCATCACACAAATATTTGTCCTGGGTTGGAATTGAACCCACAACCTCCGCTTAGCACTAAGTCCGTTCACTAAACTCGGACTTATGATAAAGTCCTCAAACTTCTCAGAAGAAAAGTATTTACGTCACAGTTGGCACCTTAATTCCATTAATCTATATAAAAAGATTTACCACCGCCTTACCGGGGATTATACCCCAATTAGGACACAAGGAATTATATAATTATATGATGATGCTGTTCTCGGTACAAAATAAGTCATCAATAACATAAAGCATGGCGCAATATGCTGTAAAACTCTATGATTTTTATTTTAAAAAAATTGGTTGCCTGTAAAGTCGGTATACGGGCGAAAGTTTTACGTGACAACGACTTTGAGTGGTAAAATAATTTTAATGTGAATATTCATTCGTATAGTAGGAAGAAGGGACGCGTGCCTCTCACTCGCTTTCATTGTGAGCGCATAACGTGAGCGGAGCGTAACGCAGTTTCTTGAAGTGTCACCCGGCAAACCAATTTATAAGACGTTGTCACCTCAAAATCATTATGACTAGCTGAAATATATAGACGTTTACACAGTTATCAAGCAAACTCAAATACAAAACAAATGTAAGTACAGAAGCAATTCTAGTTTAGAAACTGTCTTATGAATTACCTAAGTGGATATGTATTTGAGAAACATACGTAACAATAAAAAAAATCCTTTAAACAAGCTAATTATTGACAAAACCCCGCCTGCGTGAAATGTAGGTACCTACTTAAAATTAACAAACAGACAATTTTAATTTTCATAATTTTCTATTATTATTATCCGTGTGGTAACGGATTAAGAATACGGAATGTCACCACCCCTATTCATCCCGTGGGTGTAGTAAAAGCCGACTAAGGGAACAAACTGCACAGGGCAACAGCACTGCAAAAAGAAGGAAAACTTGAAACAAAACCCTTGAAAACAAAAACCTTGAAAAAAAAACAAATACCAACCCGTCTGGCCAGCGTGGTATAGTAGGCCAAAACCTCCATTCTAAGGAGAGGCCTATGTCCAGCAGTGGACTATTATAGGCTGTTGATGATGATGATTAAAATCTAACGACACATCCCAAGCCGAAATCCATTAATCTGTTTAGACTACGAAATATAAATGTATACATACACTTGAAAAATATTACCCTCCTTTAGGGGTTGTCGGTTAAAAAGAAAGACTAAAACATATTGTCGCCAACTTTCGTCCACTTCAGTTGTTGAAAAAACCTATAAATTGTAGTTAAACCACAAGGGCGTCGCCTTAGCTTATTCTCTATTTTATTATCTCTATTATATTTAAAAAAAAAACGAAATCTTATAGTGGAGTAATTAAGTAAAAGAATTTGATAAAATATAATAAAATAACAGTAAAGTATTTTTTATTTCACTGAATTTGTCGGCAGTCTATTGAAATAATCGACGCATACATAATAGGTACATACTTGTCTATACAAATAAATAAAATTGGAGTGTCTGTTTGTAATATTAAAATAACCGCTTTTTACTAAATGCATAATATGTATGTTTACACGGTACATATGCCAAAATAAAATAAAAAACAATTTTTGTCTGTCTGTCTGTCTGTTCCCGGTAATCTCTGGAACGGCTGGACTGATTTCAACGGGACTTTCACTGACAGATAGCTGATGACATAAGGAGTAACTTAGGGTACTTTTTTTAGACTAGCTTCGCCCCTCGGCGTTGCCCGCGGTTATAACAATAAACGCGGGTAACACCGCGGGTATCAGCTAGTTTAAAATAACTGTGACATGTCGGCTGTCATATTATTCAGACAGTGCTGTTACCATGACACTTGCACAGAGTAGTTTGAGAATATATTTCTGTATAACTTAACCAAATGCTCCTGCGCTTGTTGGTGTTATTTTAAATGGAATCTGGTGTTACTAAGCGGACATTAATTGTGAAATATTACTAGGAAACCACTATTTACCCTAACAAGTTACCTTTAAAAAATCAAGGTTAAATAAGCTACTGCGTGCTTGCAATTAGCTTGGAAAGCTACGCAATCCGACCTTTTTTTTTTTTCGTGCGGAATTCCCCTTGGATACCACCCGTCGGTGGCATGTCGGACACGAACCGACTAAAACCGCACGCCGTCTCGGGTACTAATAGCCGGGGAACCAGGTATACCCTAGAAAGGAAGTCCCTGGTGCTCCGACAACGCAATCAGACCTAGAATGACGTCGTGTTCTTCATCGATATAATAAATAATAATAATATATTCGGACATCTGACACACAACGCCATCTAGCAACACAGCTTGTACTATGAAAGCTAGATTGACTGATAGAATACTTTTATACTTTTTTTTTGTAAATACTTACATATTACACATAAAAAACACTCAAACTCCGAAATAAATATTTGCA